GGATTCCATCCTGCCTGGGAAGTGTCCCACAAGCTCAAGGAATCCACATCTCCGAGCCTCTCGGGGCACTTCGAGCATCGAGGGCGGTCTGCGGGAAGGGAGGGTCACTAACCAGGAACGCACTTCTCACTGGCTGCCCAAGTTTGCCCTGAGCGTTTTAGGGGCTGCTTGGAACCCAGATCCATCCCGCTGCTTCCTGGGCAGGCGTGGTGGCCAAGGCCTCCAGCTAGAGACCAGGCGGTGAGCTGAGGCGCTGGCCGGGCGGGCGCCGGCCTTGGTCGAGAGCGGTTAGAGGGAAGTTGTCGAGCAGGAGCTTCACAGGAGCGAGGCCTGGGGGCTTTGAAGACCTGTGTTTTCCTGGTGTGCTGTGGTCAGTTCCGGGGCTGCTGGGAGGGGAGGCCCAGTGTGGGCAGCTGGGTCTCAAAGGCCTGCAGGCGGGTAAGAGGCCGGGGTGTCCGCCACGTAGGTAACTCTGAGGACTGAGGGAGGTCCACGCCCTATCTCTGGTGGCTCCACGTGGCCCCCACTGTACCCCACAATGTCCTTCTTGAGCACCGGGCCTTCCTGGGGTCCGTTCCCCAGTCCACTCTGGTGGTGTTTCTGCTAAGACACCCCCCCAGGACGTGCATGCGTCCCCCGACCTGCTTGAAACCCAAAAGGCGGGTCTGGCTGCCCCTCCCCTAGCCCCGCCCCGTGACTTTGGGGCTCCCTGGGCTCTGTTCCTGACTCCTCCCAATTCCCAGTCTCCGCCCTCTTCCTTTGAGTGTGAGATCAAAGCAAACCAAACCGGTGACTGTGGAATCGGTTCTGACTCATGGGGAACCCCTGCCCCCCGTGTGTGGAGCGACTGTCAGAGGCCTGCCTTCAGAGGGGCTTTTGGGGCAGGTTGGGGCTGGAGCCAAGAACCTGGGGGCTGGTCTCCGAGCCTGTTTGCACCAAGGGACTCCTGGGGGACCCAGGTCAGCATTGGCAAATGGCCGTGCCTGCGCACGCAGCTTCTCTATAGAAAGCCGACAACCGTATCGACCGTCGCCTGCTCGTAACTCCCTGCCTTCAACTTCATGTCCACGCACCAGACCTCAAATGGGCGTCCCTCTCAGGGGCTGGGGCACAACTTCAGGTGCTTTGTCTAGAGGAGAAAGACGGTTTCTTGGTTGTTTGCACCCCCCAGAAAGGTGTGAAACGGAAACGGGGTCCCCCAACCACAGCAGCTCAGCCCCCGCCTTCTCCCGGGTGTTACCAGTGGGCGTTAGGACCAGCTGCGTGCAGACCCCTAGACCCGCTGCTGGTGACCCTCAGCCAGTCCCTGAGAGCTGACTGACCTCCAGTTTCCAGAGGAGGGTGAAGGGCTGGAGGTGGCCCAGGTGCACGTCAGGAATGACCGAGGGTAGGGCCTAGGGCCGCCGCCCTGGCTACAGGCTGACGGTCCTCTCCCTGTGTCCCCCACAGATCCGGTCAGACAAGGACAATGACATCCCCATCCGATACAGCATCACAGGGGTGGGTGCTGACCAGCCCCCCATGGAGGTCTTCAGCATTGACTCCATGTCGGGGCGCATGTACGTCACTCGGCCCATGGACCGCGAGGAGCGAGCTTCATACCACGTGAGTGTCCAGCTGAACCAGCCAGCCCACTGCTCCCTCCTCCCCCACACCATGCCCACCTAGTACCTTGTCCAGTCTCCTCACCCCCAGGTGACTCGGACAGCAGATCAGCCCTGAGATGAGGCAGGCCTCACACAGGGTGTCCACACCCCCACGCTGTCCCAGGGGAGAGGGGACAGGCCTCGCACA